TAAGTCATAACATAAAAAGCAAAAAATCAAAAACATAATTAAATCACAAAGAATCAAACTCCTATTCTTCAACAAGAGCAGCAAAAGAATTGAAAAAAACAGAGCAGTAATATTAATTGAAAAAAAAAACAGGTCAGTAATAGAGATTGAAAACACAGAAGCAAACAAAATTGGAAAAAAAATACAGCAATAAAAATATAGAAAAACACCCAGCAGCAACCAAAAAACAAAAAAAAAACAGTAACAGATCGCAGCAGCTTCACAGAGAAGAAGAAGAAGAGAACTTACAGGCTACAGCAGTCGCAAAGAAGAAGAGCAAAAGTCGCACCTTCTTAGTCGCATAAGTATCTTTCAGAAATTAAAAAAAAAAAAACTTACATTTTAAAAAATAAAACCCTAATTGACGCATTTTCATAAAAAGCGCGCTTTATCGCGCTTTTGCTTTTCTTGCGCTTCTCGCTTCTACAGTAGAAGCGAGCGCCTTTTCAATGTTGCCTCGCTTCAGGAACTAAAAGCGCAGGAGCCTCGCCTCGCCTCACCTCGCGCTTTAAGTGCGCTTTTCTGTGCTTTTTACAACACTGTGACATGGAATTCCCATTTTTTCTTGACTTACATTCCATCCGCAGGAAATAAAAAAGTCAAAGTTGTTGATGGTTCCTTCTCAGCAGTTGCTGGAAAAGGGACAATCAAACTAACCCCTTTTTTGACTCTTGTTGATGTCCTTCATGTTCCAAAATTGTCTCATAATCTTTTGTCCATAAGCAAATTGACTCAAAACCTGCCCCCAAGGCCTAGCTCAAGTGGCAAAAGGTGGAGGATTTGTGGCTTAGGTCGCAAGTTCAAGCCCCACACCATGCAAAGCGAAGCCTGATATTTAAGTGGAGAAGGGTAGAGGGGTGGGCCCATTATCCACCGAGTTTAGAAGGCTGTGATTGGTCCAAAGGGCGAGTCACAAACGACTTTCTCGGTTATCAAAAAAAAATTGACTCAAAACCTTGATTATCGTGCTATCTTTGACTCTATTTCATGTGTATTTCAGGACAAGGTCTCGGGGAAGATGATTGGCAATGCTAGAGAGTCTGGAGGTCTCTATTTTCTTGAAGATGGTGACAATTCAATAAATCTAAGTTCAGCTTGTATGAACTCTGTTCTAGTTGATAATAAAGTCATGTTATGGCACTATAGACTTGGTCATCCTAGTTTTCATTATTTGAAACTCTTGTTACCTCAATTGTTTATGAATAAAAGTGCATCCTCCTTTGAGTGTGAAATTTGTGAAATGGCTAAACATAGACGTTCATCTTTTTCTTCCCAAAAATATTATGCAACAAAACCTTTTAAGTTGATCCATAGTGATGTTTGGGGACCTTTTAGGGTAGCAACTGTAAATGGATAAAGATGGTTTGTGAGTTTCTTAGATGATCACACTAGACTAACTTGGGTGTACCTATTGAAAGATAGAGGGGAAGTAAAACATATGTTTGAGGCTTTTTATGTTATGGTTGAGACACAATTTTATGAGAAGATTCAAATATTTCGGAGTGATAACGGGGGAGAGTTTTTCAATGATCAGCTAGGCAGTTTTTTCACTTCCAAGGGAATAGTACACCAAAGTTCAAGTCCTAATACACCCCAACAAAATGAAGTAGCTGAGAGAAAAAATAAGCAGCTTATGGAAGTAACTAGGGCCTTAATGTTCACAAGTGAAGTCCCTAAATTTCTTTGGGGAGAAGCTCTTTTAATATCCACCTATCTTATTAATAGTATGCCTTCTCGTGTTCTAGGTTTTAAAACCCCTTTCAGTATGTTTAAGACATATTTCCCTAATTCTAGATTGACCGCTGACCTATCCTTAAGAGTCTTTGGGTGTAGTGTATTTGTTCATATTCATGATCATAATAGGAGTAAACTTGACCCACGTGCTAAGAAATGTGCTTTTGTTGGCTATGCCCCTAGTCAAAAGGGATACAAGTGCTATGACCCAAATACTAGAAAGGTTATTGTCACAATGGATGCCACATTTTTTGAATCTCAATTGTTTTTTGGAACTCATCTTCAGGGGGAGAAACATAGAGAAGATTTGAGGGATAATAAGGATCCTCTTGACCTCACATGTAAGGAAAAAAATGATCCAGGTTTCATGATAGATATGGGAAATAGTATTTTTGGTAATAACCTAGATAAGGTAAGAGATCCCAACTTAAATATTGAAAATAAGGAAACTGAGACAATACAGCTTCTTCATGATACAATTAATGACAAGAACAGGGAACAAAGGAATTACAGGTTTACATGAGAAGAAACCGGAACCAATAAAAAGAGATCAAGGACTCTCATCAGAACCAAATGTCCACCCCACAAGATCTCATTGATACACAAGGTAATTCTATAGAACCTAATTCTGATTTGCCCCTTGTTACTTTAGACCTTAATCTTCCAATTGCTAAACGTAAAGGCGTAGGAAAAGTCACCAACCATCCCATGTAAAATTTTGTCATATAGAAACTTGTCCCCTTCCTATATAGCTTTCCTTTCTCAATTATCTGGAATGGAGATACCGAGAAATGTGCAGGATGCTTTGAATGTTCCCAAGTGGAAAGAGGCAATTCTAGAGGAGATGAATGCTCTTAATAGAAATGAAACATGGGAAATGGTGGAACTGCCACATGGAAAGAAAACAGTGGGTTGCAAATGGGTGTTCACCATCAAATTTAAGTCAGATGGATCCCTAGAAAGGTATAAGGCACGTTTGGTAGCAAAAGGGTTCACTCAGACCTATCGGATTGACTATCTCCAGTTGCGAAGTTGAATTCAATCAGGGTTCCTCTAACCATTGCTACCAATCTTGATTGGCCCCTTCAACAACTAGACGTCAAGAATGCATTCTTAAACGGAACACTTGAAGAAGAAGTCCTTCGGGTTTTGAAGAAAGGTATGGAACTAAAGTGTGCAAGCTAAAGAAATCTCTCTACGGGCTCAAACAATCTCCAAGAGCTTGGTTTGAGAGGTTTACTCAGTTTGTAAAAAAACAAGGGTACACTCAAGGGAAAGCAGATCATAACATGTTCATTCGACACTCTCTTGATGGAAAGACAACTATCCTATGTCGATGATATCATACTAACAGGAGATGACTTGCCCGAAATGAAAAAATTTAAAAAACAGTTGGCTGGCCTCAGAGTTCGAGATCAAAGATTTGGGCCAATTAAAATATTTTCTTGGCATGGAAGTAGCAAGATCAAAAGAAAGCATTATGGTGTCACAAAGGAAATATGTACTAGATCTTCTAAAAGAGACAGGTATGAGTGGTTGTCGTCCAGCTGAAACACCTATTGATCCAATTATGAAATTCGGAAACAAAGAAGGAAATTCAGTTGACCAAAGTCAATATCAGAGACTAGTGGGAAAGTTGATCTACTTATCACACACTCGGCCTGATATAGTTTTTGTTGTAAGCTTAGTGAGTCAATTTATGCACTCTCCATAGGAAGAGCACCACGAAGCGGTCTACAGGATTCTAAGATATTTGAAAAGTTCACCAGGGAAAGGTTTGTTTTTCAAAAAGGGACAAGAAAAGGGCTTTGAAAGCTTTACAGATGCAGATTGGGCAGGTTCTACTATTGATAGGAGGTCTACATCAGGATATTGTACTTTTATATGGGGAAATCTAGTGACTTGGAGGAGTAAAATGCAGAATGTTGTAGCCCGTAGCAGTGCTGAAGTTGAATACTGATCTATGGCCCATGGGATCTGTGAAATGATTTGGCTCAAGAAGATGATGGAAGAACTAAAAATGTTGTTTGTGTTACCAATAAAGTTGTACTGTGACAACAAAGCTGCCATAAGTATTGCTCACAATCCAGTTCAACATGACAGAACAAAGTATGTTGACGTGGACAGGCACTTCATAAAAGAGAAGATTGAAGAAGGAAACGTGTGCATGCCTTTCGTCACAACAAATTAGCAAATTGCGGATATTTTCACAAAAGGCTTGTTTAAACCAAAGTTTGAAGTTTTTGTAAGCAAGTTACGCATGACAGATATTTACATGCCAACTTGAGGAGGAGTGTTGATTTGTAAATATCTAAGTGTCATCAGATATGATTTTGTAGGATTTAAATTGATCTTATAAAATCATATCTGATATGCTATTGAATAGGTTAGGATATTAGATCAATAAAATCATCCCTTGATTCTCTGCTAGAATCAAGGAATTTGATTGCTAGATAGTTTGGTTTTCTATACTATAAATTTGTATCTCTATGGATGAATAAATAGTACAACTTTGGTACCAAAACTTACAAATACACATGTAGATCAAATTACTAAAACCATACCTCTTCCAAGAATCAAATAATAAACCACATAGTTTGTGTTTCATATGGAAGAAAATGTTCTCCGCTTTTGTTATGTTTGGTTGGTCAAATTTTTGGAGAACATTTTCTCTAGGAAAACAAGTCCTTAAAAATGAGGAAAATGATCTCCCTAGTGAAAGTAGGGAAAATAAGTTTCATACGTGGTATTTCCAGACTAATACTCTCCAACACACCCCATCCCCACTCCTAACCCCATAGCCCCCATTCCAACCACCTCCACACCCCTAGATGCCCATGCAACCACAATAGTGATTGACTAGATTATATACAAATGTTTTTGGGACAATATTTTCTGCTTATTTACCAAACACGAGAAAATAATAAGAAACTTACTTGGAGGTCGAAAACATTTTCCTTCAAACCAAACACACCCTAACTATAATAGGCCAATTAACACTTTGAAAAGGATAACCCTCTTCATCCCAGATAGTTTTCAATGGGGCGAGGTAAGATAAGAAATAATGTATACTTGTTCACCCTTAAGTTTTTTAATGAGATGTAACATTTGAGAATCTTGCTCTTCCCCTAGTATGAAAAAAGTGACCAAGGATAGGAAGTAAATGAAAATTAGAATGGAAATGGAGCAAGGGAGTATCAAGAAAATAAAAAATACAATGAGCATACCATTTCTCTTTGCTTCTCTTTTTTGAAACCGGTAGAAATCTAAACCCACACCTTTCTTTTTCTTTTTGTCCATATTATCCATGACTGCAGCTTGGGAAACAGAGCCAACTGCAATTCCAGTTTCAGAATCAGTTGTCTTTTTCCTTCCTTTGTGATGTACGACAACAGTCCAGCCATCTTCTGCAGCAAGGGGTTCGTTTTCTTTCCTTTCCTGTATGAACAGAATAAGCCAGATATGAAAGAAAAAATTAAGAAGAGACTACTCTCCAGTTCATCAAACAAGAAAACATACATGTTAACCACATATAATGAAAATAAGATCCAACCATCAGATGTATAGAACATGATTGGTTCAGGGCATTAACAATTTTTTTATAACACATCATTTTCTGTCACTCAAAACATTTCAAGATTACTATGAAACTTTATACATGATATGAGCAAAATTCTGCAAAAGTTGTCCATTTTCTTTCTAAAAACTGAAGCATTAACCAGCTCTAGACATAATAGAGCTCATAAACATCCTAGATTCCTCCAAGTACTTCAACAAAATCATTAACAACAAAAGAACATTCTGGAGAAATGATGTACCTGTTCCTTTTTCGCCTCATAAGAAGTAATAAACTCATCAATTCTTTCTTGTAGCACCTTCAACCCAGGCCTACTCTGGTAATAATCGAGTACCCACTCTGCAATAAAGGAGATTTCTTCTTAATAAGGAAGCAAAACGATATAACATTACTGGACTAAGTGGCCATATCAACATTTTTCTGAAAGGCAAAAAGGGGGATATACAACAGCAGAATAACTTCGAAACTGCAACAATGATTAGAGTTTCTCCTTGAGATAATTGAGAAAGAAAATCCAACTTCCAATCTCAAATGTAGAACACTGGAGCCAAGCAACAGGTAAGTGGCAATTTTTCAGGAATATATAGGTTCTTACTTCTCATTCCTTTCGAGCAATCCTCATCGTCAGAAGATAGTTCATCAATCTCTTCATATCCTGCTTGTCCTCTCTTCTCCACCAAGTTGTCTTGCGTTATTGTGAGTGAATGATCCTTCTCTGCAATTTTGACAACATCATTTGGGTTGCCTAGGGGTAAGCAATATGGTACTGACAATATCATCATGTCTATTTAACAGTTAGAAAAATCAGTCTAGTAAAATTAATTCCTTTTCTCCTTTGTACTCTGCACAAAAATGGAGATGTCACTTTAAGAGGTGTCTTCCTGAACTCTTAGCTCTTTTTAAACATACAGTACAAGGAAATACGAGAGAGAGAGAGAAACAACTGAGACACTAGAAAATCTCTCCATACCACTTTTCTTATCTGAATCATCATTAGCCTCAACATAATGATCAACAGTCTCATTTCTCCGTACTTTCTTCTCACTTTTTCTCTTCTTCTTTCTGGATTTCCTTTTCTCAGCGGATACATTATTTTCTTGACCAAGTGCATCCTCTCTTTCATTAGATTGATCAATTTCCAAACTTTCAGTTTCATCAGGTCTGACATCTTTCCTCATCTTCCTCTTTGCAGATTTGTTCTCTTTTTCTCCATCCACATTATCTGATTCATCAAAACTAATCAACAACCAAAAAAAGATTGCAGCAATTTGATGATCACAGTAAAATTCAAATTGACTTTTATATGTCGATTACCTTTATAATTTGAGAGATGTACTTCATCTCTTCTTCTAGTTAGCACATGAGCTCTCTTCTTCTTCCTCTTCTTTTCTTCCATTGCCTTAGCCAACTTCTCCTCTTGCATAAAAGGGCACAATCAATATCATTGTTTGGTAGACGTCAAACTAACAACTGTGATAAGAAAAATTGCCGGGTAAAGGAAGGAGTTCTATAATAAGCTTTTTACTGGTTCACCATAATGTATGGGCACCCTACTTCCCAATCTTTGGCTCATTCGACAAATCACGTTTTACTGTATCTAGAATCCTAATTAAACCCAACTCCATTTCCTTCCATAGAAATTTATGATTCTTGTTATAGTACTACACTAAAAACACTCTCTTGATCACATATTCCCGCTCCATATATTTTCTAAGCAATCTGATTCAAATACATAACAAAGACCCTCATAAAAGAAAAACCAAGCTTTCAACAGAGATATACAAAATTTTCCTTCAAAGAGAAGAGCACCTCTATGAAAACCTAAGTTGTGCAGACTCTTCACTTTAGATGCTGTACCGATGTCGAATTCTCCAGAAATACACTAGTTTTGGAGAATCCAACATCCACCCATTGACATTTTTGAAGAGTCAGAACAACATAGGTGAACTGAATAAAAAAATAAGCTTAGCAAAAACGGACTCACTCCTCGAGAACACCTAAAGATGAAAGTAATCAGAAGCCTAGCTGCTTGAGTCATCCATAAATTATGCCCATTTAGCTTGAAAACTAAAGTAGCTCAGAATGTAAATATTTTAATCAAACATTCAAAAGATAGTTAAAAAAAAATTCAGGAGAACGATTGTTTATTATACTTTAATGTCACAACAACAAAACAAAAGCATATCAAGTGAAATCCCAAATTAGTTAGAGTATGTTCTATATGCACATTCATTCATTCATCATAAAATCAATGAAAGATGGAAACTTTAAGGCAATAATACCTTCTTTTTGGAGGAAGATAGCTCTACCCTCTTTATTCTTTTTTGATTTCTTCTTTTTGTTTAGCTTTTCCAGTGAACCCTCAGCTCCCATCCTCCTCTACCCTTCTTTTGTCTGTCAATTTATACCCAAAAATTAGCAGAAAAAAAGGAGAAACCCACAACATCATTATCAACTGGTATACCAATTATCAAGAAAAAACAGAGTACAGAGGCGGAGAACGGCTGAGGACGGCGCCGTACCTGCTTCGGTTTTGTGAGGAGAAAGAATAAACAGACTTCTTTTTAAAAAAATTCTAACAAATTTGTCTTTTAAGTTTTGTTGAATTTATACGCCACCAAAAAATAGCAGTTAATATCCCAATACGTGTTTTACCTTCTAACTCACTCAATTTTGATATTTAGGTTTTTTTGCAAAGTTACCCCTACTGTCCAACAATAATTATTCACTACTGATTTGGTACATTTAGAGGTGTTTGTGGTTCGGATTGGATCGATTATTAATTAAAACCAAAATTAACCAATATAGTCGGTTTTTTAAATTTCTAAAACCAAACCAAATCAAACGAAAAAAATAACCGTCGATTTGGTTCGGTTTGGTTTAGTTTTTTTGATTTATCCGTTTTGAAAGTAATAGTAATTTTTTTGAGGATTTACGTCGATAGATACAAATATCCAGCACATGAACAATCCACAAAAAAGTCATTGTCGGCTCTATTAAGCAATTAAGCAATACTAGAGTTATCACTACACGAACAAAGTATTTCAATTAAGAGAAAGTGTGACTATTTTTGCGAAGTATGGTAGGTAAAGACTAAAATGGATTTTAATGAACTTGGACTTAGGATTGTTATAGTTGGGCTTGAGGAAATTGCAAAGTTAAAGACTTCAGTTAATTAAAATTCAATAAAATATTTATTTATGAATATTATATAAATAATTATAAAATTTATATATCTAATTTATCGGTTCAATTTGATTATTTTTGCGATTTATTTTTAGTAAAACCAAAACCAAACCATATAATATCGGTTTTCAAAATTTAAAACCAAACCTAACTAAATCCAACCAAATATCAATTTTTTTAATCGGCTTGATTCAGATTGTGGTTCGATTTGGTTTTTTAATCATAACCATGAACAGCCCTAGGTACACCCATTAAGAAACAATAAATAGCAAGGGTAATAATACTATATTATTCTTTGACTTTTATTAAATTTAATGATTTGATAAATGTGTTAGATGATAAAAGTTGAGTATTTAATAGCAACGGTAAAATAGACACAAAGAGTAATTTATCTCTTGATTTTTTAAATTGGACAAGCATTGTTGGACAACTAGTTTAAGTATAGTCGACAACTATTATTGGACGGAAGGAGTAATTAGAATTACACATACATGTTTGTTTGTCACATTATAATTACAAATGTATTGTTTGAACTTTGAATGCACATGCGATCATAAGATTATATTAACTTTTAAAAATAATATTTAAAATTTATATTAGACAAATAAGAAACTTTATAAATAAAATGAAGTTAAATATTTAAGATAAATTGTCTTTTAAAAATATATTAATTAATAAACATATGTTCTTAACTAATATTATAAAAAAAATGAGTTATTGTAACGACTTGTTTCCGTCGTTATGGATAAACCAATGGGGAAGGAATTTGGGCCAGAACACTTCTGAGTAGTAACTTGGAAATTTCCAGCCTAGGCTAGACTTGGACGAAATCTGTGTCAGGTGAGGTCTAAAGTAATCCGGTAATGGATGGAGGATTTGATTATGCATTTAATGATTTAAATGGATAGCCAAGACGATAAGGAGCCTTTACGGCTTTACGGAATCGAATTCGGGTGGGTAGAACTCCTGTAATTGATCTTAGTGTGAAATGATGGTTTTAGAACGTCAATGATTGAGGGTGTGTTTTAAGATGGAGACATGGAACACAGATTTTGAGTCTCTATCTCCATGTAATCCACCACGACAGGATTATTCCTGCCATAGCGGTGCCGCTATGGTGGGCCAGTCGCGAGTAAAATGGGAAAAATCCCAAAAACATTATTTTTCTACAAACTTCGTTCTTGGAGAGAAAAAGGGCGACCTATGACTATTTCTTCTGGTATTTCACTAATTCTCGCGCTAAAGGTAAGTTGATTACTCCCCTAATTCATCAATTGATTCTTAGAACTAAAAATCCTTGTTATTTATCCTTAGGGAGGGTTTTGGCTTGAATTTAATAGTGGAAAAAGCCCTAGTTGGGTGTTAGGATCATGGGATTGGCCAAGGGTTAGAATTTGAATGTAATCCGGGTAGATTAGGCCTCTATTATTAATCATTATTTGCTTAATTTATTTGTTTTAGACCAAGAACAAAGTTGAGAGACTCCAGAAAGGGAAAGCTCAAGTTCCTTAAGAGTGTTCAAGCTTAGTTTCAAGGTAGATGATGGTTTGATTTCTTCTCAGTGTTATATATGCCTACTAACTGCTCCATTGTATTCATTCTTGTATGTGAATAGGGAAAGATGAAATGAATCTAATGAAATGACTAATTGTGATTCTGTAGCATGCAATGAACCTGTTACCTAATTGTACGACACAAATGTGTAAATCATTCATTGTGGTGTTGATTGTGTTTGTGACTGTGGTTGATTGGATCGGGTGTCACATTTCGACACATAATTGGATCGCGTGTCACATTCCGACACATATTGGATCAGGTGTCATGTTCCGACACATTATTGTATCAGGTGTCACGTTCCGACACACTAACAGTTTGAGTGTGGGTTCCATGAGAGGACCATCATTGACTGTTGCATTTGAGATTGATATTGTGAAACTAATATATTGGGCATGAACTGGTAAATTATTATTCTTTTTGTATATGTACTGACACTGCACTTGTTCTTTCTTTATTGAGTGACATTTTTAGGCGGCTGTTGTGAGACCTCAGTTAGGAGATCACTAACTTGTCGAGTTCAAGGGTGAACCAGTTTAAATTCCTTCAGGCTACCATGGATTTATCTAGGATCTTAATCCATTTCCTTTGGACTTAGACTTTTCAGACTCTTACTTTATGTTTAATTGTTTTGAGATTGCATCCCCTTATCTTAGGCCGTTTAGTTAGAAATTTTGGTACAATGACTTTTAGGTTCTAGGGGTTGAATTTTCGCTTGTTTATGTTTGTTTTTGATAACTTACTGAGTTTATGGGAACTCAACTTTTAAATTGATTATTTAAACCTATTTCCACATCTTTAAATGTCTGTCTTTTGGTTAGTACTATTTATTTGGGTTGTAGTAATGGTTCTTCCACCGGAGAGTTAGCGTAGATGTCAATCATGGCGGTTTGGGTTGTGACAAAGTTGGTATCAGAGCCCTAGGTTCGTTGATCTCGTTATACCAAAATGATTCCATTAGAGACTTACGGAACAGTATAGAGACGTCTGTATTTTTCTTCGAGAGGCTACACGACTTTGGGAAAATTTCTCTATCTTCTTTTCCTTTCGTGCTATAACTTGATTCGAATTGATATCTGGTGATTCAAATTCGTATCTAATCTTTTTCACTCTTCGATCCATAGATGGTGAACATGCGAAACAACGACGCAAGGACAATAGTTGTAACACCTCGGAAGTCAGACTTAGAAAAATGCAGCAGAAGAACACCAGAATCAGTGAACCACGGCAGGGTTCACGGACCGTGAAAGAGACCACAGTTCGTCGACCTACTCTTGGGTTCATACCCAGCCCAGAACTGGCGGACCACGGGACCCTTCACTGGCAGTGGACCACCACACGGGCCGTACTGGTGCTCGTGGAAGGAAGACAAGACCTCTTAAGCTCAGGCGTCAAACCACGAAGCCCTCCATGGGTCGTGGTCTCGACGACAGGCCGTGGTGAGGCTCGTTAACTTGACCAGTAGACCCCATCCCCAGGTGAAAAACCACGACGACCTTCACAGTCTGTGGTCCTTCACACGGTCCGTGAAGTGGACCGTAAAGGGGAGTCCCAGAACAAGCAACCACCAAACCAAGGACCACGACCAGCTTGACGGTCCGTGGTCCCTTTGACGGTTCATCAGAGGGGTCGTGTTTGGCTGCGTCAGACTTTTAAGTCAGGGGTCATTTGGTCTTTTCCCTATGCGTTGGACTTCTAAACTACGTCGTTTAACCCTTAAACTACGTAGTTTTGGTTAGTTTAAGCCTAGTAACTTGTCAGATCTTTCCCTAAGCGATTTATTCACTAAAAATCATTACACTTAGAACAAAAGAGGAGAAAAGAGCCGACCCAAACCCTTCCAAGAATGCAACAATGTTTCTTCAGTTCCAGCCCCAAAATCAAAAGATTTCTCCGTGAAATTCGTCATCAAGTATGTGGGATTTGACTAGTGGGTTTCTTTCACCTATTAGGTCCCTAGAATTCAGTCAGATTCTTGATTCCCTCCATATTGTCTAGGCCTAGGGTTTCTTAGAATGTTAGAAATTGTTGTGGATTAGTTGTTAGAATGTTCCTAATCAGATTTTCATGTTGTTGTAACATTGTTGCTTAGTTCCTTGCATGAAATTTAGAACCCTAGTTGTGTAGATTCGTTTAGTTCATGAATTAAACTTGCTAGGCCAGCTTATACAATTATACACGCATCAGTTCCACATGTTTCATTATCAGTACATGAATGTTGCATTTTTTATGAGTCCACAAATTGGACTCATTTAGGGCTTTATTTTGATAATAATAGTGTCCTCGAATGTTTATTTTGTCTAAATATCTGATGAAAACTCTTAAATTTTAGGTATTTGAAGTTTTAGTGAAAGCATGGACACTTAGGCACAAAAGGGCTGAAAAGAACGAAGGAGCTGAAGCCTGAGCATCGCCAAGCACACTTGGCGATTCGCCGAAGGGATTTACTTTGCCCTTTGTTCCAGTACGTGAAGCCTTGAAGGAGAAGGATAAAAAAGGCGATGAAAGAAGCAGTCGGTGCTTCGCCAAATAGTTCCACAAAGCAGTACTATACCACCCAATGGTCCAGAACGTGAAGATGCGGACGACAAGCACGAAATGGCGATGAGATAGACGAAAGGCGAATTGCCGAAGTCATTCGGCGATATCGACTAACTTCGTCGAAATATTTGCCAGCGCTATTTTCTGAAGTCTATAAATACTGAACTTATTATTAATTTTAGAGAGTCGAACATTTATTTTAATTTGCAGAATATAATAGTACTTTTTGGATATTTTTCTCTCTAGTTTGGAGAGAGTTTTTGGGAGAC